TCTCTCCCATTATATAAATAAATAATAAAGCACAGGCTGTGTGATATGGCGAGAATGCCGCGTAGTGGCTTTACAGCTTATGTCCTTCGGGCCATTAGCAAATCGGGTGAGACCCATTTACTTTTTCAGGTCTTCTAATTTCTAAAACACCAACCAATGGAAGACAAACGAGCAATCACATCAAAATTTTACCTTTTTAATACAAACAGATTTACGGCAGCTCTCCGAATAACAACTGCTTTAAAAAATATTGTTACGTGAGGATCGAGTTGAATAATATATCGACTCTATCATACTTTCTGGGTAATTTCGTCTAATGACCCTTAAAATGGAGGAGAAAACACAGTCTCGTCCAAATTGCATGAATTACACAATCAGCAATTGCATTAGCTGAATTTCGCTTAATTCTGTTTAACCTCGGGCATTCATAGTAACAATGACTGAAAATACATTCAAGTAATAGGAAACCATTTTATAATAATTTAAATGTTCAACATCTACTGCTTTACTCAACAAAATGAAATTTACACTGCAGCAACGAGTGCTTTAGACACAATTCCAAAATGGTTAATGCTAAGCCACAGCCATGGATGTCCCTTGGGAGGGGATAGGAGTGCGGGGGCACCCTGTAAGTTAGAGCTTCAGACTATATCTTGGATGTTTCGAGTTCAAATTCTAGAATGAGCAGGGTGGGATATATGGGGTGATACACACAGAAAGTGTAATGGTATAATAACATAATAGAAGAACAATGGACATGGTTATGCATAGGTGAAAAGTTACCAAGTTCACACATATCCCTCCCCCATTCTACAGTTTGTATCTTACTAGGCACACTTCCATGTGTGAACAACAGATGAATCTTCGACATTCATGATAAAACATGGTTGTAGTAGCATAATAGATGCATAAAAAGTTTTTAAGAACTAATCAATCTTTAAAAACAAAACATTAGAAAAGCAATGGCAAGTGTCTCTATATAGTGATCATTCAAGTTAATACGCATACTATAAGGTCATTGCCGACAGGGGTGAGCTTGTTATCAACCATCATTTCTCATGCAAGATAGTAGTTCTAATAATAAGGCTCAACTGCCCATGGCAGGTAACAATATCATCCCAACAGGCCATGTTTCAAAGACTACAAAGATAGGTCTTCAGTAAACCTAGTAACATAATCATTGACAGCAAAATGAAGTAATTACATGATTCCACGTTTTAGCAGAAACCTAGTTCACAGTTGTTTCAAAGATTCCCTTCAAAAAAAGATGAGTATATTAAAATCAAAACCATAATAGAACATAACTTACCCAGCTCAAGATTAAAACAAAAAATTCAAGTCAATTCCTCCATATAGACAGTTCAATCCAATATACCCCAAGGGAATTCCTTATGCTCAACACGGATGCCAGATAATTGGTACACAATTAACCTCAAATTATTCAAATGGCATATCAAAACATGACAATAACATCAGCTTAAATAATGATGACAACATCAACCCCGATCAAAATACTCGTCAGTGAAAGAAACTACCAATATCACCTGTATCATTGCTTGACATTCTCCAAGTACCATTTGTAAGTATCGACAAGCCCATCTTTCAATGAAATCTTGGCACTCCACCCCGATGAACCAAGCTTCGAGTTATCCATGAGTTTCCTAGGAGTCCCATCAGGCTTTGAAGTATCCCAAACAAGCTCCCCATCAAAGCCAACGACTTCACTAACTCAGCTAATTCCTTGATGGCAACCTCTTTTCCACTACCTACATTCACATGTTCCAATCCACTGTAATTCCCCATCAAGAAAACCACAGCATCAGCTAGATCGTCCACGTGCAAAAATTCCCTTAACGGACTCCCGGTCCCCCAAACAACTTCTTTTGCTCCTTCGACTTTGGCTTTATGGAATCTCCTCATCAAAGCGGGTAAAACGTGGAAATTCTCCGGATGGAAATTATCGTTGGGGCCGTATAAGTTCGTCGGCATAGCGGAAATAGCATCGAACCCGTGCTGGATTCTGTAAGCTTGGCACATTTTGATCCCAGCGATCTTGGCAACCGCATATAATTCGTTGGTGGGCTCCAGGTGACCGGACAAGAGCGCGTTTTCAGGGATGGGCTGTGGCGCAAATTTGGGATAAATGCAGGAGGATCCGAAGAAAAGGCTTTTCTTGACGCCATGGCGGTACGAGGAATCGATTACATTGGTCTGGATTTGGAGGTTGATGGAGATGAAATCGGCCGGGTAGGTATTATTGGCGTGGATTCCGCCAACTTTCACGGCTGCAAGTACGACGTATTGAGGCTTCACAGAGGCGAAGAAGGATTCGACGTCGGATCGGCGGGTGAGGTCCAGATCGGAGTGGGTGCGGACTACGAAGTTGGTAAAGTCCAGAGATTGGAATTTGCGGACTATAGCTGAACCAACTAGGGCTCGGTGCCCGGCTACGAAGATCTTCGCAGATTTGTTCGAGAAGAAAGAATCTACGCAAAAAAGATAATCAGAGTTATAATTAAATTGATATCTATTTGGGGATGCCGTCAATAGAGGGAATTACCTGTTTCACCCGTTGCAGCGGAGGTGAAGATTTGGGGTGAGGTGAGATCGTTATTTCACCAGCCTGATATATAATCAAGTGTCTATGCTTCGGAACCGGGAATAAATAAGAGATCCGGCCGTGAGTGTTGTGGGAAATTTCGTTTTTGTTAATTTAGTGGTGGTGGAATGGAAGCTTCACTTTTTCAATTTTGAGTGGCGGGGGACGAGCTCAGCCTCAACTCGGGGAAAGGGAATTAACTGGGCTGATTCTCAACCCAAGAATACATTTTCGTATTGGAAATGGGTGGCTTACAAATGGCCTAAAATCCTGTCGTTTTTATGATGAAGAATGTCAAACCCAGCCATGCAGTTTTTTGTTGTTGTTGTGTGTACAAATTAAAGATGGGGGATTTGCTTCATTACATTGAAACGCAAACAACAATTTTGCTTTGTTTTCTTATGTAATCTTATACTTGGCTTGTTATCTTACATACTACCTCTTATTGGCATGTTTTATTATAGTTTTAAAATAATATTTTATATTTAAACTGTACACTTTATCTTAATTTGAATAAAAAAATTATAAATTAATTCGAAACACTTGCCTGTTCTTAGTTCTTAATGTTTGCCATTAGCCAGCCCCAAGGAGTAAAAGAGAGAAAACACACAATCATTTGAAGATCGATAAAAGCGCAACAAAACGTGTAAATTTTGTTTCTTGAAACAGCGCTAAATTTATATACCATATATATGAATCTATGGTTTTTAAAGATTTATTTTGATTTTTATTTATTTTGAATAGTTTGAGATGACCGAACTTTGAAAAACAATGACTTTTATATAATTGAAATTATTTGATGAGTTCTATCCAATAATTAAAATTATTTTAACTCGTGTGCTTTTTATTATAAAAGTTTGCCGTAGTGACCGAAATAGCATAAAAGAGAGATTCCACGAGAAATCAACGGATACAATCAAATTATGAAATTCAGGCATGGAAATGACACTGATAACGAGCTTCGCATAAACAAAATTTATGGCCTTGCCAAACCATTTTATTTACCAATAGCATTGTAAAAGACTCCAATCTAGTCCAGACGCTCTTACTAAAACTTAAACTAGTGCCAAAATTTTTGGCACCAGTTTATGACAGCATTTGACAGACACGCTACGTAACAGACAACTCTAAGAGGCTCTGTCTCATATCAGACTGACGAAATACACTGACAAAGCACCGGCCCACCAACCACCACATCCTCCTCCTCTTCCACTTCCTCCGCTACAGCCTCCCAACACCGCTGCTGCATGGTCAATTTAGCTGGGATGCGAACCGTGCAGCTCTCGCCTACGGGGGAGTAAGTCCTGTAAACCACACACCCACCACCTGGCAGTTCCTGCTTCACTGTATACTGGCACTTGTAGCCTTCAATGTCAGCATATTCCATGGCCCAGACTCGGACCCTGCCACGGCATGTGACCGCGACAGAGAACTCTTTCGGACCAAAACATGTCAGCACCCTCTTAACCAGTGGTTCCAGCTTGACAGTCTCCGGACCGAGCCCCATGGCCACGTAGCTAGCGTAACTGAACCCATCTTCTGGGGTCACGTGAACCGTAGAGTAAGCGAATCCTTCGATCCCATTCATCGAATACCCACAGGGGTCAAACTCGTAGTCGCATATCACGTGACTCGGCATAATGTCAGCGATTCCGGACAGTTCCGTCATTTCACGTGCCGAGCGATTCTCGTTCCCAGAATTATTGTAAAACTAGCCCGCCTTTTCACTATTCAACCCTGTCATGCACATTTCCAGATTGATCTCTCCCCCCTCATCTTCCATCAGCGGTGGTTAACATTTTGCTACAGCCGAGTACACGTGCCATCTACGAGTTTGAAGCATAGGATCGCCGATTATATAAGCCTCGGTATTGAAATCAGAGAAATGCCCGTTTAATGCTGCAACTTCCTCAGAAAAGTTGCGGTGAGGGGCAGGTTGGTGATCAGGGAAAACAAAGGTGCCACGTGAGTAGTTGACCCTTGACATGATGAGTGAGAGTGAGTGGCTGAGTTCGAGAATCGGGGGGATTGATAAGAGAAGCTTTGTAGTTCCGCATGTTTTCAGGATAATCTTGTTTGGGTAAACGAAGAGGCTTGACTCTGAGAGAACGTAAGAGTCGAAGTTGGAATTGGAGAGCTGAGAAACAATGGTGCAGCAAGCAGGTTCCAGAATGTTATCGAGTTGGGCTCTAGATAGAGCTCGGAGACCTAGCCCATTTGGATCATCGAAGATAGAAGCATCAAAGAAAGTGATTTCCAAACGTTTTTCGAAGCCTTCAAAGCCTATTGGTGAAAGAGGCGGAGGTGAATCCATGCCCATTTTCATTACAACAAACCTCAAAATTAACAATATCACTGGAAAATGCTCTCAATGACTTGGTATTGTTCAGGAATGCTTCAGTCTTTGATTCTTATAAATACTTGGAAAGTAGAAGGGGGGGGGGGGGAAGAGGCTGAAGAAAATCTAATCTAAATTGAGAGTGTCATTTTGCAAAGGCGTGTATCAGGATGGCATTCTAACGCACTGCAACCAAAAAAAACGAAGAAACAAAATGTTAGACCTAAAAACATAATAAAACGCTACCAAAATCCAAGAATGATGAAGGGAAACATACGTTGGAGTAAGCAGCAGATCGGAACTTTTCGATGCCACCGTTTGGACGAATATCTTCAATGCTGTAACCGAGAGGGACTTCGTATTGTAAAGAATTACTACTACAACTACTCTTTTTGCCACCCTTGGTCTCCATTACAACATCCACGCTTTCCTACACCAACGATCTCAATTAATCTTCTGTAAAAAGATTGAATCTCAGCAGAGATTGAAACATTACAAAAAAAAACGTTCTTTCAACCAAAAAAGGAACAAACAAATCAAATGCAGAGCCGCTTAAACATATATATATTGTAAGATAGCTACATTACTGTTCTCGTAAAAATTCTGACTAATGGAGATCAACTTTAAACGGATTTTCTCTTAAACCAAGAAACCATAATTGTTTTCTCAAGAAACTGTTTAACCAGAGAAAAGAAGAGGCAAACGGAGACGGCGATTCAAAAAAAAGAAGAGGAATTTAGATTGAGCAGGGAATTAAATAAACGATCTAGGGTTTTGTGTATTGTGCGAGTGAAAAAAGAGTGCGGCAACAAGGTATTTATAAAACAAAGATAATGTCCTCTCAATTGTTTATGCCTAGCTGAATGGTTGTCGATATTTTAACAAAAAATTAAGTTTTAAATACATGATGATTATTTTATAATTTTTAATAATAAAAAATTCCATAAAATAATATTATATATATTTAAAAATTATTTTATAACTTTAATAGTTATATACTCACGATCATTTGTTTCCTTTTATACTTAAAAAAAATAAATCCAAAGCTTATAACATGAGTATTTCAAAACTTCTGTTTTCATTACATCTCCGTGGCGGATGCACTAAGCCTCCATAGGAGTCAAGGACATCCCATTATTTTAGAAAAATAGTTAAATTTAGTTTAATGTATTAAGGAAAAAAAGAAAAAAATTACAATTTTTGCATACCTATTGTTTTTAAGAAAAAAAAATTAAAATTTTAGACTTCATTCTTAAATTTCTGGATCCGCTTCTTATATAAGTGTGGATAATTTTTTTTAGAAAAAAAAAGAATCAATTTTATTGAGTTACTTGGTGGCTATGAAATAGAGGGAGCTTCAACTTCGCTGATCACTACTAGTGCATGAGGATTTTTTATTCAGTATATGTTTAATACAAAAATAAGTGTTTGAACTCTCTTTCAAAAAAAACGTTGTAGTGTTTAAAAAATTTCATTAAAAATATGTTTTTAAAGTTTCTAAAATTATACATTTAGGTGTCTACTGTTAAAAATCATTGTTAACTGACAGTTAAACAACACGTGTCAAACTATGATAATTTTGAGAATTTAATTTATTTAAAAAAACCAGCATAACCCCTCCCACTTTCACGCTCACCTGTGCCTTCTCCCCTCACCCATTTCCTGGCCGACAGGGATCACACTGTCACTATCATCGGTACTGACGTCGACTTCCGATTAAACTTCTGATGACATTTCACTGTAAGCTATCGTCGTTTGACGTGGAGAAGCTTTCGAAGTTTCGTCCACCGTCGCTACTTTCGTCGATTCCAGTTGATCTCGACTTCCATATGCCACGCCGTCTCCACCATTTGAACCACCGTCCAATTCCACTCAAAACCCATCCTCGCCGTCGTTTTGTCAGTGCTCCTCTAGTATTCCGCCATGATAACGGGGTTGAAATGAGATTTTTTAGTTTTTTTTTTTATAATTTCATTAAAAGTTTGGAGTTCATTTGTAAATAAATTAAGTTTTTTATTAAAAATAATATTTTTATTATTAAAAAATAAAAAATATAATAATAGACACCTAAAAATATAATTGAAAAATTTTTCGACACCAATTTTTAATAAAAAAAAATTAAACATCAAATCGATTTTAAAGATAAATTTAATACATTTATTTTTGTATTAAACCTTTGTATTATTATTTGGTATTAAACTTTGTGCATTACACGTACATATAGTTAGTCACGGGAAGATAAGATTTTGATAAATCCTTTTCTTGGGCAGTCGCATCTTCTAATTCGGGGGAAGACTCTGCCTACCTTACTAAAATTTATCTTCGTAATATACATTTATTTAAAAATAAACAAATCACCTAAATGATTAAAAAAACATCGTGCGAAATTACCATGATACTAACTCGTGTATTTAATCATGAAAAAAGATATCAAATTATAATAATAGCAGTAAAAAGAAATGAGTAAATATTTTTAGTAGATTGGTTGATATGTTAATATTTATTCTCTTATATTTTTTTAGATTACGAGTTATTAATTTATTATTAGTAATTTTTTTATTTTCTTAAAATCTTTTTTATTCCCATAAGATTAATATTAGATTTAAAATTTATAAAAATAAAACTACAAAAGAGAATTTTGATCATATCATTTGGAATTTTATCAATTTTGTATAGGTGATGAAAATGAATTTTGGACTTTATTGTCATCCGATTGAAGTGAGACACAGCTGTACGATACTGTAACTTAGCCATAAATTAAAACCTACCTTTGTCTTCATCTTGTATTAATTAACTTAATGAAATTTGTTGTTTATCGTATTAAACTAATATTGATAGATTAATTATTCATGGATAAACTATGTGGTGGTAATTTTATACAGTGATATGCTCCCAAATCCCAATGTCCTTTCATATTTAACAAACTTATTTCTTTAATAAATAAATAATTGAAGTCAAGGATAACTTTGAAGGTAACGGGAGGCTTATACTCTCGTCTCTCTAAAAGTTTTAACTTTATATATAATTTAAATAATTTTTTGTTTTTATTAATAATTTGAATTTATATTTTTAAAATTTTAAAATTTTATTTCTTTTAAATTTTTAAAACAATTTCTTAAATGTTTTTATATAAAATCAGAGATCAAACATTCATTTACTTGGATTACAGATATAGTACTGACAAATTTCTATTGTGTTAATTATATAAATAAACAAATAAATAAAATTAATGGATAGAGATTTGAGCTATCATGATTATAATGTATTACAACTCACTCATTCATAATTCTAATAGACGCGCATATGATATTAACGATATTAATGACTGCATATGAATACTGTACAACTATGTATTTATGTATTTATTTATATATGCATTGCATTTTATCTATATTTTTAATTTTCTGAATGCCGGAGGTCTTCCACGGAAGCTACTCTCAACCTGGCGTTGGGGGCAGCCTACTACCCTACCTCCCCCTTACCCCATTGCATATGGGAATTGGGTTTTGTTATTGTTGTTGTTGTTGTCATTCATAATTCGAATCTTATTCTCCCTTAATTATTAAATGTATATATAACACGTATCTTACAAAACATTGCAAGCTTGTAAAGGATGATCTCTCTGCTAAATAACAAAAGACTAGTCATTTTTATTTTTTTTTCTCATATTATCTCTATCTGTATTTTTATTTTTATAATATATTATGTTAAGTCCACTTATACGCTATTATTAAATTTCATTAAGTTATTTTTGTATTCATTATATTCCAACCAAACTTCACAGAAGTCAATGTATAGGAAAACAACAACCAAAACTAGGCTATACAAACACCCCTACTAGCATGACACTCCACATTAACATGCTTATCCCACAATTTCAGTCTAATCATTTGCTTAATTCTATCAACCATTTCGGAGATAGTACTAACCATTCCAGCGAAGAGCCTTTGGTTTCTAGCCTTCCAAATCATGGCACCATAGCAGTTCCAAGCCAACTTCAACGCCCAAGCGCGGAGGGACTTGTCTTTTATCCTGCTACACGCCCACTGCAACTCACCATCCCAATCCATAACCGTCCTGCTAACCTGACGAAGGGTCAAGACACATTTCCAAACCATCTGTGAGACCTTACACTCAAAGAACAAATGGTCCCTGATCTCCATAACTCTCGAAGATCAAGCCACAACTTCCTTCAATGACAAGGCCAAACGAGATAAGTCTACTTCTAGTGGGCAGCCTGTCCAACGCCGCCATTCAAGCAATAAAGGAATTCTTGGGAATATGTCCCGAGTGCCAAATTAGATGCTCCCGAGGAACCTTTTCCTTCTTACTCCGAATCTCTTTCCGAACCAATGAGACCGAAGATAGAGTCAACAAACCCTGAACAGAAGCCGCCTTACCCCTAAATATTAAAATATAAATTAAGGTTTATATTAATTAAAAATAAATATTTTAAAATAAAATTTTTATAATATTTTTGTATATGTTAAACTATTTAAATACTTGTTTTTTTAACTATGAATTAATTTTTTTGTGAAATGTTTTGATGATAATATTTGAACTAAAATTGAAATCAAAATCAAATAAATAAGCGTATATTTTATAATAATTTTTACAAGACATCATTAAATTAATTTTAAGAATAGAAAAACATTTCTTTAATTAAGTTGATTCTTAAATAAAAATATAAATTGTTACGTTGACACAATAAATATTAAAAACAACAACAACAACAACAACAAAACCCAATTCCCATATGTATGGGGTAAGGGGGAGGTAGGGTAGTAGGCTGCCCCCAACGCCAGGTTGAGAATAGCTTCCGTGAAAGACCTCCGGCAGTCAGAAAATTAAAAATATAGATAAAATGCAATGCATGTATAAATAATTACATAAATACATAGCTAAACAGTATTCATATGCAGTCATTAATATCATATGTGCTTCTGTAATGGGGAGTAATCCCTGCAAAATAATCCCTACGAAAGAGTCTCTGCATATAGACAGAAACCTAAGACCCGGCTAAAATTAACAGCGGAAACATGATGAGAATGATACACATGAGACAACGATAGCAAGCACAGTTCTAATATTTCATAAATACCAATAACAGAAAAGTATAAAAAGTAAAAGTCAAGGAAATAACTACAAATGCATTTAAAAGAAGACAAAGATGATACACCCTATAGATGTGACCCACACTACTCGACTACCCTAGTCTTAAGCCTCCATAATTTCCTATCATAGGTCATGTCTTCGGTAAGGCCTAAATCCCTCAAATCAGATCTCAAGCAGTCATCCCACTTCCGCCTTGGTCGTCCTTTCCTTCTGGCACCGTCGACTGTAATCGACTCTACCCTCCTGACCGCATCCGACGGTAGTCGCCTAAGGACGTGTCCAAACCACCGTAGTCTTCCCTCCCTCATTTTTCGGAAACAGACATCACCCCTAAGGACATCCTAATAGCAGAGTTTGTCGTCATATCCCACAGAGTCCTACCACATGTCCATCGAAGCATTCTCATTTCTGCGGCCTCTATCCTCCTAACGTGATCCTTCTTGGGTGCCCAACATTCTGATCCATACAACAGCGCTGGTCTTATTGCCATTCTATAAAATTTTCCCTTAAGTTTTAGAGGCACCTTCTTGTCACACAAAACTCCAGTAGCAGCCCTCCACTTTAGCCATCCCGCCTTTATACGGTGTGTAACGTCATCATCTACACCCCCATCTTATGTATCATAGACCCTAAGTACTTGAAACAATCCTTTGAGGGA